GGGCGGGGCGGGAAGGAGAGTGCGGCAGCGCGCGCCGCAACTGGAGCAGGCCCCGCACGCGCCTTTGCTTTCTCCGAGCGGCGCGCGGTCGCCGCCCCGCAGAGCGTCCGGCGCTCGAAGAGCGGGTCACTCACCTGGGCCCACCGCCCGTGCGCTCGCCGCGCCTGTTGACCCTCGGCACGCGGCGGAGAAAACGGATCAGTCTGCGACAGCGTTTTGGAGAAGTAGAGAAAATCTTTACAATTTCCTCTTCTAGCCTTTAGCGACGACCCGTAGCCCGCGAGCTAGCTTTCCACGTTTGCACGTTTTAATGACAGTTACTCCAAGTGGTTTTTAAGATGAACAAATCGGGTGTGCGGTAGGTTTGTTCGAAAAGGTTCGGTTAGTAAAACTGAGTTTTTTCTTTTCATCCCATTTTTCAGTGACCGCCGATTTCGGTTCAAAATCCATCCCAAGACCTCGGCAACCTTACCAAAACTCAAAATTTCTGAGTGGTATTTGGGAACCATTTGTCAAGGCATTTGAATAAGATACCCTTATAAACACTAGTAAACATATTATTTGGCTCACGCCTGTCTTTTGCTATACTGTTTCGACTTCAATTTGTTTCATCAGCTTGGGAGGTGTTGAGATCAACAACAAGGCTGACCGCATACCGAAGGACAGTAGTGGGAAGATTATGCAAACCTTAGGATTTTCCGTGGTTTCTCCGATCAACACCACGCGAGTGCCGGAGCAGTACCTTAACAAACGGGCCATGGACCGCGCGCGATCTCACCTCCCTCTTCCTTTGTCTTATCCTCACCCCTTACAAACCCACTTACACTAACATGCTCTACACTACCAAACATGCCGGGAGAGCGTCCGGGAGTAAGGAGCTTGGTCCCGGCTGCAGTGGTGCCCCGCTGGTGGGAGATACCTGGTTGCAGAAAACCCCGCTAGCCAACAACAAGTGGACGTCGGATATCGCCATACAGCGGATGAAAGATTCCGCAACCTTCCGAGAAAAACATGCACTACACTCACGGGGCTAATAATCCTGATAGTTGACGTGCCCGGAATCACTAAACAAACAATCAATCAATAAAATAAAAGTAGCATATTTCACCGAAGAAATCATCCTAAATAACAGAAAAGAATTATATAATGGCAACGAGTAACCGCAGCAAATGTTTTCGTTCAGCTGCATTTATACTAATTGCTCGTTAAACCAATACGATCTAACCACAGCAGAAGGTCAATCAGCAGCAGAGCACTCGTTCATGGGCAGTGAGTGGTATGAAGGGAACTGGCGCGACACACGAGGCAAGTGCGAATTGCGGGCAAAAGAGAGCGGGGATCTAGTGACCTGCTACTTCACTCTCCGCCGCGGCCTTCGAAACACCGCCATTCACCACCTCTTCGTTGCTTTTATTGAACGATTCAACGTTTTTTTATCTGAAACTAGATTATAAACATCTTTCTCTAGTGTCTGTTTGGCTCTTTTGTATCTTCGTATATTTAACTTTCTCTGAAACTCAGCGAAACCGTTAAGAGTAACTCTTCTATTCGTGATAATTAGCATAAAAGGTTTTGAGCCCAAATCTCTTCTCCCCCCTCCTGTGGTTCAAGACCCTGCAATTTCGGGGCTGGAGATTTTATGAAGCCGAGGATTTTTACGTCGAGAATTCGAGGTTCGGTTTCTGCACATTTGGAGACTACATTTTTTACACAGCAATACAAAACTCTGGAAGAGAACTGGTCGTAATAATAGCAATTAAACTCAGGTTTCGAATGCGAAAGGAGAAGTTTTAAAGGTTTCCATCTTTACTTCTCTTCGTTGAATGTTTGTTTCCTTTATATTCCATATTCTTCTCTTCATCGAAAGGACAATGCCAACTGTGATTTATAAGTCGCAAATTACCTCTTCAAAACAAAATTAAGAAAAGGTTGAAATATTATAAAAGGTAAATTTTAAAATATGTTGCAATTTATGTAAAATAATTACGTAGAATATATTTTTCAAGAAAAAATTAATTAACTCGTCCATTAATTCAAGAAATGTAATTAGATAGAACTGGGAATATTTTCTGGGTTTAATACCATATCCTGCTATCCAACAATAACCTTGGTAAGATGGCGAGTGAGATTTGTAAGTAGCACAATCGAGATACAAATACTATAAATGGCACATCGAAAACATGTAAGTGGTGAAAGGCAAAGGTCGACAGTCCTTTCTTGCAATTACGCTAATAAAGAAAAGCTTGAGGGATAATAAAATACTATTAATATTAAGATTATTCGTTCACAGAATAATTAGTGGCAAGTAAGTTGAATAATCAATTGACTTATAAACGTTTTGTCCTTTAGAAAGTTCCATGGAAACATTTTTGAATATAAGAGATCATCAGTATCTCGCTTCTTCTCCCCCCCTAAAAAACACTTACAAAATATCTAACACTTTTATAGAAATGTATAAAAAGTAACAATTGAGAAATAAAACGAGATATTAATCGCCATACAAATTATTCAGAGAAAGATGTATAATTTATTATTTCAATGTATAATGAACTTCAATGAATAATTAATATTCGAAGCAGTTTGGGGTAAAAAAATCAAATTTTTCATAGCCTGTTTATAAACTTCACTTGCTCAGTTTCCTTAGGAACAAAATGTAAAATTACTTTTTTGTTAACCAAAAATATATCACGAAAAGCTGAGTCGGTTTTTAAGTTTGCCGTGTCAAAACGACACCCAATGCTTCCGGAAATTAAAAGTTCATATTACCAAATACTGAATGTGTTGGCATAGGCAGACAAATTAATTCAAATTTGGCGCCAAACTGAAAATCCAATCATTTATTACAATTCTTTGGCGCTAATTAAAACGAAGAACATACATTTCAAATGTTCTATGCCGGAGATCGAAAACTGATCGCTCAAGTCCGCCGGCTAACTTCCAGAGGAAAGGAATTGCATTTTTTCGAATGAAACTTTGAACAGCTTTCAAAGATGACCGGAAGATCGCGCCACCTCCCGGCCAAGCAACTGTGCGCATTATCGTAATTTCTCGAAATCCTTTTTTTTCTTCACATAAGATGCGACGAGATCGCATTGTTTGAGAATTTGGAGCCGAGTAGTTTCGTGACGATCCACCTTGTTCATGTGTAGAGGCTAAGCAATACCGAGTGTCAACTGCACTAAAAGTTGTATTATCACTATGCACGAAAATTGCAAGCTGTAATTAGAACGCTTTCTGTTCGACAGAACTAGGTAACGCTAGCAGTATCTTTCATTCAATACTTGATGATTCTTACGTTGAGAATGTTAACTGCCTGCTTTGAACGTTTTCAGTGACAAAGTGTGAACGCGTTTTAGCAGATGCCAGGCAGAGTTTCTTCAGAAAAGCTCTCCCTATATTTCTCTGCTTCAACAGAATCGCTGCCACAATGCCTTATCTAAAACGTTCTGGTCTGATGTGAATTCATAATTGATTCTATTTGAAGTCGGTAATTGTTATTTTTACGGGTTGCTGTGTTTCTTTAAAAACTTAAGAGTATTTCTTAACATTATTGGATTTGATTAAGTTAAGACTAAAAATGTATTGGCTCATCCGTATTAATTAAAAAGCAGAAAACGGCTTTTATGTACTGAGTGCAAGCACAAAGCAGTCCGCTACTGTTTTAGATCACAGAAAAGGTGACCAGTTAAGTGAGGACTGTCAAGAAGTGTACCGCAGTGGTCTCTGTCAGTACTAACTAGATGCAAAGCATCGTGCAGGGATCTGATCCACCGAGCTGTGAATTACCAAATTTTCACATACGCAAGAGCGGATACATGTCCTGCCGCTGAGGTGTGGGAGGCGTTCAGTGAAGGACACCAATGGTGGATTATTCCATTATTCCATTCTAAACTATCTCTTATTATTCACGCAAGTTTTCTTGATACACGAGCTCCCTAGCCCTCATACAGCGTTGAATAGCACGACACATTGAGATACATAGGTCAGACTCGGAACGCCACGTGTCAATTTACAATGCTGGCAACAACCACCTCGTACTTTCAAAACAATCGTAGCATTTATCGTAGCACGCTTTAGCGAGTTAAATTCATGCCCACAGTTGGTACGGCCTTTTAAGCCATGACGTAGCCAGAGCCCTCCTCTCCCCCCACCCCCGCTGTGAAATACCAAGAAAACTTGCGCGTATAATACATTGTTCCTAGTTTAAACCAAATATTTTACAATAAATGCTTTATTAGTTGACTACTTATTAAAATGGAAACATCTATTTTGTCCATAACTGTGTGCCCTCTGATCCTCACGTGATACACCATTGCTCTCTCACACACACTTGATTGACAACTTCCCAACTACACGCGTGCTTCGTTCTTAATGTGCCCTTAAACTTCTTCACGTGATACGCCATTACACACTCTCGCTCTCTCTCTCTCTCTCCCCCTCTCTCTCTCCCCCTCTCTCTCTCCCGCCTCTCTCTCTCCCCTCTCTCCTCTCTCCCCTCATCTCTCTCCTCCCTCCTCCCTCTCTCTCTCCCTCCCTCCCTTCCCTCTTCTCCCTCTCCTCCCTTCTCTCTCATCTCTCTCCCCTTCTCTCTCTCTCCCTATCTCTCTCTCCCTATCTCTCTCTCCCTCCTCCTCTCTCTCTCCCTATCTCTCTCTCTCTCCCTATCTCTCTCTCCTTCCTACCTCCCTCTCTCTCCGCTCCCTCCCTCTCTCTCTCCCTCCCTCCCTCTCATCTCCCCCTCTCTCTCCCTCTCTCTCTCCCTCTCTCTCTCCCTCTCTCTCTCTCTCTTTCACACACACACTTGATTGTCAACTTCCCAATCACACGCGTGCCGCTCCGTGGTGTTGCAGGGCCGCAGCCGCGCAGCGACGCGAGGGCGCGCGCGTTTCAACGCGGACGAAGTGCCTCCGTCGGCAGTGGAGGCGGCGGCGATGCCTCCGCGCTCCACCAGCGCCACCAGCGCCTCCAGAACCTCCAAGAGCTCCAGTCCCTCCAGAACGGCGCAGCGGCGGAGCAGTCTAACCGCCTCCGCGCTGGTGAGTCGCAGCGCCTGAAGCGGCCGGTTTTAGCATTACTTTCTTCGCTCTCGTCCCGGCGAAGGTACTTCGAAAGAAGAGTTTTGTAATCGTGCGCCGGAAAAAGGCGAATTTTCGGCTGAACAACTCTTATTGCAGGGCCCTGGTAACGAAAAAGTGGAGAAATCCTGTTGATAAATATAGGAAAAAATCCTCGAACGCGTGGTGTAGCCAGAATCCATGTTTTGTGGGTCTTTGAAATCGAAAAATCGATTGATGGCAGAACGTGTCTGTCTGTTCGTGTGTGGTCAATGTTACCACCTAAACTGTTCAGCAGATTTTCTTCAAAGTTGATAATTCCCAATCGATCTGAATGCACTCGAGGCTTTGGGAGTTCCAAACGGATATTTTGATTTTTGAGGATACGTTACATGAAGCCTCAAAAACATTTTCAAAATTTTCTAAAAAATTGCACTAACTTTTTAAATTTGTTTTCCTCCTGCTCTTCCTTCTTTTTCCTCTTTATCTTCAGACATTAGGCTTTGCCTCGGTTTTCAATCTTTGTTTTCTTGATTTGCCTACATGTTTATTTGCGATTACATTGTTGGTCTGTCCAGGTCTGGAAGTGCGTTTGTCCGTTCACTGAACGCGATTCATCCCGTTTTCGTTGCTCGGTTATTTTGTCAATTAGATAACAAAATGTTTAGAGAATGCCTTATTTCTTCTTTTCGGATGGTACTTTCTCTTCACATCTGCTATAGATCAATAAAACATAATTTCAACTGAAACTGTCCTCATATAAGCAGACCCGGTTTTACACTAAAGCCCGCCGGATACAGTCGTCACTTTATATACTAATTCCAAATTTCACATTGATCTCGTTTGTGGTTTTCTGAGAGCGGATCAATTAAAATTAACTGGATATCAGGGCCTTTCTGTCAAGCCAGGGACTATTAAAGGATATTTCAAAGCTCTCGTAATTAAATGAACTCAGTCTCATTTGTGTCATAGCTGTTGTCATCATCAAGTTATACAAATTCTGAACATAAGAAAATAATATTTCTAAATAAATAATTTTGTTTCCTCTGTGGCCTGTCTTTCACCTCAAAGAAAAAGCTCCTAATAAAATTTGGACACATGCCCAAAGTACCCCACGAAATCAGATCAGGGCCTCTCAATGTTTTCTTAATGTTTTACAAGATATTGTAAAACTTTGTAAATTGGATAAAAGGTCAAGATTTAGCAAGTAAATAGGTTTTATTTACGTTCAATAGTATATGTTTTCAGTATTACAGTAACCTATTCAATAAAAATGACGTAAATCGTCTTCTGAAGGAATCTAGACGTACCACAGATTATTTGATTACAAACCTTTAAAAATTAAAGACAGGAAGCTACATAGTTGCTTCACAACGTAAAGAAAGTGGTACTGCCCTAATGCGAATTGTCATTAACCTCACCTACATAACCCGGGCAATGTCAGTTCATATCGTCCAAAATATGAGTGATCACATTTATAATTGGACGAAAGATCAAGGGTGAAGATTACATAAACTGTAATTTCTCCGGATATAACTAAACGTGGGTGCTCACGATGAAATGGAAAGCTGATCTACCATCGTATTTTCGCAAGTGTATGGTCTGACATAACTGAAATTAAGCTCCATTGAACACAGCGTACAAGCACAACTATACGAAATTAACTAAGGAATAATTATACTAAAGATAAAGCTATTGAAAGAAAATCATTATTTTACACGAAATGGTATTAAGTAGGACACAGCTCTTCAGAGCACTGGTGCCCCAAAGGAAAGCGATATCAGAGCTGGAATAACAAAATTAGGATGTTACATCGTAACTATGTGTGTAAGAATTATTGCTGGATTATATTTTTCTACCTTGAAAATATTAACTTTTATAATAACGAGTATAAATGGAATGGAAAGCCGATCTACCATCATATTTTCTCAACTGTCTGACCTTCTATAACTGAAATTAAACTTCACATTTGCTTATATTAAATCATTTGCTCACATTAAGCTCCATTAAACAAAGTGTACAAGCACAAATATAAGGAATTAACGAGCCTATGAGGAATAAATATACTAAGATAAAGCAATTGAAAGAAAATCATTATTTTACACGAAATAGTATTAAGTAGGACACAACTCTTCAGAGCACTGGTTCCCCAAAGAATTACGATGTCTGGAATAACAATATTAGGATGTGATATCGTAACAATAGGTGTAAGAATTATTACTGAATTATATTTTTGTTTCTTGAATATATTAACTTCTGTAATCACGAGTATAATATTATTAATTAGCTTCTACGAGGAACGAGACCATCTGCATCCATTGACCGCACTGCTCGCTGCGCAGGAGCCCGAGCCGGCGTCGTCGGTGGCGGCGCCGGTGCGTCAGCAGTTCCTGAGCCGGCGCTCAGGCGTGGCGGCGGCCGAGGAGGCGGCGGCGGCGCCGGCCCCACGCGGGCGCGCCGCGGCCAGCAGGCGCAGCGCGGCGCGTTTGGCGCGCGCAGGCACGGGCGCGCGCCCCGCCCCGCCCCCGGCCACCGCCCCCGTCACGTCCCGCCCACCGCGCGCTGCCAGACGGCCGACGCGCGCCTCGGTCGCCGGCCGCCGCGCCGCCTTCGAGACCACGGCGGCGACGCCGCGGCCCACGCAGTTCGAGAGCGCGCGCGCGCCCGCGCCGGGTCTCGAGTCCCCGCAGGAGCCCGGCCGCCCGCCGCCGCCGCGCCCCGCCGGCACCTCCTTCCCAACCGACGCAAGGCGCCGGCGCACGCGCCGCACCGCCCCCCGGCCACCGAGGCCCCCCAGCGCGCGCGGGGATCTCGCCGACGCCCCGAGTCGGCCGCCCGCGGCCGGCCCCTCCGCCACCCCCGTCGACAGAGCGCAACCACCCGCCGCGCGGAGGCCCGCCGCGCCGTCGTCGAGACCTCGGAGGCGCGCGCCGCCCGCCCCGCACGCGCGCCGCCCCCGCGGGAGAGAGAGCCGCGCGGAAGCGACGCCAGTCGCCGCGCGAGCGCCCCCGCGGCCAGCCGCTCCCTCGCGCTCGCCAGCTCCACCCGGCGCGCGAACACACCGAGGCAACTAAGCGCCACCGACCGGCGCGCGCCCGCCCCCGCCTCCGCCCGACCCGCCCTACCAGCAGCGAGGCCGCCCCGCGCCCGCCCCAAGCGCCTCGAACACGACCTGGACGCGCCCCCTGAAACATCGTCAAGGTAACCGAACGACGTCCCAAGGAGACCACCCACGGAGATCTTCGACGCCGAGTCGGCCAGCGAAACGCCCCGTGGAGGGCGCGCCGTCTCCTCGCCGCTCCGCCGCCGCCGCCCGCCCCCGCCCTCGGCGGAGCCCCCGCGGAGCCGCAGCGCCGCAAGGGGCGGTCGGCCGCGGCGCCCCGCCGCGGTGCGAGCCGCCGCCGACGCGCCTCACCGGAGCGGCGCCGGAGCGCGCGGAGAGCGCAGCCGCGGCGCGCCAACGCGACAACCCCACGACCGCGGCGCACGCGCGCTGAGGACGCGCGCCGGGCCCCGCCCCCTCCGGGCGCAGAGGGGCTGCCCGCGGGGCGGACCGCCGCGCGCGGCGCCGGCCGCCGTACACGCGCCCCGACGCCTCTGCGCGCCGTCGCGGGCAGCACCCCCGGCGCGCCGCCCCGCCGCCGCCGCCGCGTGGCGCCGCCCCGCCCCCCCCCCCCGCCCCCCCCCCCCCGGGGGGGGCGGGAAGGGGGGGGGGGAAAAGCGGCGCCTCGCGCCGCCCCCGCCGCGCGCACGGGCCGACGCACCGCCGAGGGCAGCGCCGCCGCCGCCCAGAGGCCCTCCGGCCGCGGCAGCGTCAAGGTAAGCGCCTCCGCCCCCCACCCTCTCGAAGGCGCGCGTCAGAGCACTTGATCGCGCTCCGCGATCAAGTGGCTCTGCTCGGTCGAGCGAAGACTCCGTAACTCGAAGGCTCGGTAACATATCACACTGAAACATATCACATTGCCTGATGAGCAGACCCTTCCGCGATGAAGATACGAAGTGGAGGAGAGTATTAAACCATATTTTCTCAGTAACAGTGCTTCATTAAACACTTTATGCAACAACTTCATTTTTGGTTAGCCATCGTTTAATCAGCGGTTCTCAAACTTTTTAAAGTGTGTACTCCTTGTACACAACTTAAAAATTAATGTATCCCCACAATGAATTTGTTTCTACAAGTTTTAAATACAGCCTGAATTTTTGATATTGATTACAGAAATTCTTTTTAAGTTACAAAATAATTACAAAACTACAAAACACTAACTTTTTAGTTTAGTAATTAATTTCTTTATAATTTTTCTTTATAATTTGTTCACACACCCCTTACAACCCTCCTATGTATGCGTGGGGTACACGTACCACAGTTTGTGAAAGTCTAATGTATATGATTCCTCTTACTTTTTTACGACAGTGCAACTTCTGTCATACAAAACTGCAGAATAATGGTTTTAAGTGTTTGCCTTTTATTTCACAACAGCTATTTATGTCATCTAGGTGATATTTCATGGCCTTAATAGAATTAATTTCTTAGTTTCCATTCTTTTGAAGAAATAAGACTTTTTAAGTGTCATTGTGGTATGTTTCAAGTTTGTATTAAAAGTATGTAAGTTAGTTTCTGCTGCTACAGGAATCAAAGAGTGAAGTTGAATCTGGAGTGAGACTCTAATTACTTTTTTTTTTTTTTTTGACATGTGAGGAGAAATTGTGTTTATTACTCAATGAAATGTCACTTTTTGAAGTTGTCACATTTTGTATCCAAAAATAGAAGCATTCCCTTGCAAAAAGTCTTTATATGTGTATTTTTTTATGCTGAAATGATAAAGTGATAATATTTTCTCATTAGAACAAAATTATCTATTACTATTAGGCAACTTAAGCACTGGTACTACTTATAGCAGTTTTATTCACTTCCACCCCTCATTCCAGAGTTGGCTTGATCTCTTCTTAGGGGCAATACAAATTCTATGTAGTTATAGCATGTAAGAAGTTGAGATTTATAATCTTATATCATATGACTGAAAGAAAATAATTATCTTTCCAACAATACATAATATAAGTGAAATCTTCTTCTTATAAGTGAAGTCTTTTATCCATGTATTTTTATTTGTATTTCCTTTAGGTTCTTATGTAGTGAGAAAATGTCACTACATGTGCACATCTGTTACATTTTTGTGATTATCTACAGAAGTCGCAAGAAAAATAATAATCTTAAAAATTACTTACTTAATGATAATACTTCATAATTACTGATTCGCTCCTGAAGAATTTGGGTGATAATTTTGTTTTGCAAGTTAAAAACAGTGCTTGAAGAGAAAATAAATTATATTAAACTCAGAGTTCTAAAATAAATATTTAATTCTGTCCTTTGTTGCAATCAGTAACAAAGCACCACAAATTCATTTTACACATGATTAAATTAATAAATATAATGGTAGATAAACTTACATAGCATCTGTTTGTCATACGTAGAGCATAGAAGAAGAAGTATTATGAATGATTCAGTGTACTTCCAGAAATATACTCATAATTGACTACTTGAAAACTTAAAAAACACCCTCTGTATCTAATTTATCATTTACAAAAGCATAAATGTAAAAGAAAAAAAATGTGAAATGTATTAAGTTCTAACTTACTTATAATTATGATTCAAGTAAACCAGGGAGATATTAATGCACTTTAATTACTAACAGACTGAACATACAGATTTTCTCCTGATATTACGTACTACTAACTCAAGAAACGTATGGAATAATTTTATATGTATAACATACTTTTTAATACATTAGTGAAGAGTATATTTGAATAGTATTTTCATATTTCCTGCACAAATAATTTTTGTGAATTAATTTTTATACAAGAGAAATGTAGCACCTGCATTCTTATTCAAGCACTGTTAAATTTATCAAGCTTCATATCAAAATCAATTTTATTATGCTTATATTTAGTTGAGTTTAGTTTAAAATCTTTTATAATGAAGCAAAACTTTCTATATTCCATCTCTGGAGTGATTAAAACAATATTTTCTGCAAGCCGTTTGGACTAGTAGGGAATGAACCTGTAATCACTCATCACATCAAAGTGTTCAATGAATATTTTAATCAGCTTCAGCCATAGCATGTTACTTAAAAATTTGAATGAAAATGTATCATGGCATGTGGGTTAAGGAGAATTCATACTTCACTAAACTTCATTTAACCTGCAATGAAACTGCATGAAAACACTGTGCAGATCTTAATGCATCGTAGATGCATGCAATGAAGATACATGTAGCAATGGGTTGATTACTAACATAATGACTTCATTGTCTATCTAGTGAATTTGTTGTTTTGATATCGCAGACATTTCTGAGAAATTGTGCAACATGAAGCTGCCATATTCACAACAACTTACATATACACAATACCAGATATGCTAATTGCCATTACCAGATATTGGAAGTAAAATCATTTTAAAATACAAGCAAAACATCCTTAGAATCACCCAATCATTCCCGCTCCATTGTAAAGAACAATCCTCATACTATGAACATCTGTGATACCAGAAAGATTTACATTAGTATCCACAACTTATATTTCTGTGAAATTATTTTGGTTGTGAAGAAATTTGCAGAGTTTCCACTCTCTATCATAGGCATTACATAGTAGCTTCTATATCATAGGCATGGCATGCTAAACATGAAGCATGACGGAGAGTAGATAAGTAGATGACATCATAATAAATTCATTTGAAATTATGTAACTTGTAGCATGTTGTGTAAACATTTCTAACAAGTATGTAGTAGGCCTAAATGATCCAGTAAGCTTTGACTAGTGCAATTCTTGAAAACAATAGTATCATGTAGAAATGTATGATATAATATGTAAAAATGCTAGTAATAAAAATACCACTTGCACTTCAAAAATGCTAAACAAAACATTAATGTTCCTGAAAGAAACCTTTCAATCCTAACTTTCCTCCCCTTTCCACCCTCACCCTTGAATGGTCTCTATTACCGTGGAGACAATTAAGTAATATCTAGTACTAGAACTAAACTGGAATGGAATGAGTCATAAACATGTGCTGATGATGCAACTTGAAAGAAGGGACTCATATCATCCATCCTCTCATCCTCATCTCCAAAAGGAGGGTGTCATTTACACCCTTACTATGAGTAGTGTCCTGTTCCCAGGGTGGATCTAGAACCAAGCAGACATCGACTACTAAGGATGAAGTTGATGATATTGATGAATCGGACAATTACCCTGCAGGATTTCTACAGAAACTAAAAGCTCTTAGAGCCACCAAGGTACGCAAGGACTGAAGAATAAGGACAATAAGTTTTAACATCATGACTTTCAGAAAAACAAAAATCATCGAAATATTGTGTGTTTGTATGTTGTTTTGCACAGTTTTCTTCATTCTGTCATCACCAATACATTTTAGTCTCTCAGTAATGTCATGATATGAATAAGTATAAATTTCATCTCTATGTTCAATGTGTGTTGAGCAATTTGAATATCATGACAATATTGCCAGACAATCACACACAGCACAAAGGCCTATTTTTGCACATCACTTTGTACATAGAAACAAAACAAATTTATTTATTTCTTCTCTACAGCATGGAAAGGTAAGTAAACAGTAAGTATGTACTACTTAAAAGTTGCTATGGTGTTGGATTTATTATGGAAACCCACTTGATCATGAGTAAAGGTGGGGTGTAAGGTCTTCTCCCAATCTTTCTTAACAGATCAGCTCCTTTCTCTCAACTGGTGATGGAGCTTCCCACCCTTGAAAAATACTTCGTTCTTTCAAAAAACAATGTTAACTATTACATCCTTAAATAAAAGCATACAGAATTAAATCCAAGTTTTTTCAAAGAAACAGTTTAATTTTTTTGGTAAAGGAACCAATGAATACACAATTGAAACAGAAACTGAAAAAGCATTTTATAATAATAAGTGAATCAATTACAATTAAAACTCATGATATATTTCAAGAGAGTATTTTCTATTAAGTGTTGATAATCAATTCAAAAGGATAAATTAAGTAAAGAAGTTTAATTTTTTTTAAAAGCAACATCTGAAGAACTAAGAAAAAAAATTGTTAGAGTGTACAACAGAATTATATAATGATTAATTTTATTATTGACAAATTTACTAAAAAATACCTTTAATTTAAGAATTAGGGAAGGTTATCCTGTGATATCCTGGCTGCTCCATGAAGTTGTGAATTCATGTTGCCATAGGATTTCCATGATACTTGATATGTTAAGAAAGCACCGGTACTTTTAAGCATAAAATTAACACGTACTACTTACTTATTTGTCACTGAACTTGCAACGGTGAATAAATGTAGTGCTTGTTAATTCTAATTCCATTGCAACTTACTATTTATCACTTTTTTTTTTTTTTTTTTTTTTTTAAGTTTCAAAATATTTACTAAAAATACTTGATAATTACATATTTTCATTGATTATAGGTAATCCATATTTCTTATACCTAAGTTATTTATCAATGAATTCTTAGGCTTAAACTTTTGTGTTGTAGCTTCAAGCTGCTGCTTCTAACAGACCCCTTCCTCCCACTGGAAGTTCCTTTGATACTCTAACAGCAGCCAGTTCTCAAAAACTAGACACAGAAACAACATTTGGGCGTCAGGTGATTAATTCATAACAATTTAATGATGTATATAAATGTAATAAAACCTAATCATGAAAATACATTAATTAATCATTACTAAAATGGAAAATAAACAATGAATTAACCAGAAATATGTTCTATTTTCATTAATTTTCTTGTTTATTTCTTGCCTTAATTTCCACTATTGTATTATATTTCATTATCAATTCTTATTCATTGTGGAAATGGAATAACATTTAAATACGTTAACTATAAAGTGGAACTGCATAGATTATACTGCATGATACATGTCTTATAATTTTCAGTTTAATAAAGCAGAATATCAGCAAGAAAGACAAAGAACTAAGAAAGATCACTCAAATACCCTTGAAGAGGACGATTTTAAGCCCTCTGTGAAAGAAAAATCACGTAAAGTGAATCTCTTGGTAAGGATAACACTAAAGTCTTACAATATGAACAATTAAATAATGTTGTCTGTAATTGTGGGTTAGAAAATATCTCTCTGGAAAAGATCTACTTTTCTTTAAAAAAAATAAGAATAATAAATTTACAGGTGGCACCTTCTCCTCCCTCTGAGAATTCTGAGGATGAGCACAGGGTAGAAAGTCCAACAAATGTCCAACAATTTAATAAAGTGAAAAGCTCTGCTTCATCATTACGATCCTCAAATTTAAATGTTGCTTCTGCTGCCGATGAAAATCATTTAACAGCCAGACATAGAGATACTTCACATTTTGAGAAGGACTCAAATAATAAATTTAATGCACCTTCAAAGACAGCTAGACCTCGTACCAGAGAAAACAAGGTAAATTTAATATTTAATGCAATATATCAAAGAACCTTAAATAAACATCCATACATATTGTCTAAATGTACATAAATTTTCATTTTCAGAATGAATTTGCAAACTTACCAGTACAGAGGGAACAGCCAACTATTCAGTCTCCCTCACCTATTCAAAAGTCACCACCACGATTTGGGTCAAGCTACCGAAACCGATTCACAAAAACTTCCCACATTTCAGAATCTGAGAACTCTTTGACATCTAATGATGAAGCAAGAGAGGCAGAAGTGACAACTAGATCAGGTCTACTAGGTCGTCAACGACCTCCAGCTTTCAGACCTCCTCTACCTGAAACACAAAGCAGAAATACTTACAGTTCTAAGACCAGAAGTACAACACCACCACCAATTCGAAATATTCCTAATTATAAGAAGTCTACAACACCAAGTTCATTTGAAGGCTCCAGATCAGTAAGTGGAAAAGTTTATCAAAATTTGGTAATATTATCAGGGAAGTTTTGTGACAAGCAAGAGTTGTTTATCTTATACTTCAAGTTTTTCAGAAATTTTCTTCTAAATATACCAGTTTATAATGTTTTATCATTTTATCCTGTGAAAAACCTATAAAGGTGTAGAGCAGTAACCAACAGTGCAATATTATTGCTATTCTTTTTAAATAATTTATTCTTAATCACTTTAAATTTTTATGGTATTTCATTTTATTTATCTCTTTTTGGGGGTTTAGTCATGCTTTATTAACCTCTTTTTCAGTCTTCTGTAGCAACACCCCATAGGTTCAGTGCACGTTACCGTACTGATCTTTTGCGAGGTAATGGCAATATACGAACAACTGCTACACCTGCATATATTCCTACAGTACCAACTGTAACAACTCCATCAGCAGAGAGCTTCTATTTTGTAAGTAATCCATTTCATATGGTACCGGAGAGGAATTTTCTTTTCTCCCATGTAATATATCACTGACTAAGAAAAATATGGACATTTATACAAAGAAAATTATTCAATCAAAGTATGTAAAAATATGACAAAATCTTTTGCATGTTTTGTTCTGCCTATCATCTTAATGTGAGTACTTAATATACATTTTAAATGATCATAATTTCTTGATTAAAGATATACTTCAATTTCTTCTTAATTTTATTTTTAGTATATTAATTTCCAGATAATTCTTATGATTTTGCCCTCACTAACATTGTAATCCCAAAATATCTAATTAGATAAGTACTTCTTTCAAGTCTTATTTGTTTCCAAAACAACTTTAACAGTTAAATGTTAGCACCAAGTTATTACAAATGTCCAATGTAATAGATTTACTTATTTGTTGTGAGCTAACAAATAGTAGCAAATAGCAGTGATGTAATTTTTAACTAATACTATTTAATAATAGCCATTGGTAAATTAGGGACATTTATAATGGTGAATATGTTAGTAATACCTGCATTAACATAATATGTAGGCATTTTATTCATCTTTGTGAAAGATTCTGCTAATGGAAAAAAAAAAATTTGAACAAACATTCTGAAAAAGAATTCAGGAAAATTATAAATTTCTAATATGTACTCCTAAATGTGTAATTCATTTATATTTTGTCATCATTACATCCATATAATTCACAAGTAATTTCAGAATGTTACCTTACATCAATATCAATGGTTATTACTAATGATTGTAAAATGTACTAACAAAAAATGTTTTAACAACATATTTCATGCCTAACAATATTAACTTTTCTAGAAAATTCAAAATGTAGAATTTATAAGATTATATGTATTCAAAACTATTCTGTCCCCTCTTTATTATTGTAATACAGATTACAATATCTTTCCTATTATAGAATTCCAGTCTTAAAACTAAATGAATTGGTAGAAATAATTCAAAATATTAAATAAAATAAAAAATAATTAAAAATTATTATGAGATGATTAATTTTTCACAGTTTATAAAATTTGTTATATTTTTTGAAATTATATTTGTACTTGTACAACATGCAGATTAAGTATTCTTCGCACATTAAGTACATTTCTGAAAGGTCCAAAGATTTTAATATAAAGAAAATAGAATATGTATTTTCCAAGCTAATTAACAAGTAAGTAGATTAAGAATATAAATAAATAAAAAACTTTATCCCATTTTAATTGCTAATACATTTTGCATACTCAGAAAGTGAAACTGCATTTGCTTGAAGAAATTGTTTACTCCTGAAAGTTTCAAAAGTAATTAAATTCTTAATTCTAATAATTGATTTTGATAGATTATGAAAACGAAATGTGAAACATGCATACCAAAACCTTTCAGCCATTCCAAACGCTGATAAGTTTTTTCACAACTTCACCTTTTGACAAATTTTATGTGAATATAAATACAGAGAATGTGTATGGGGACAGTGGACAGACTGCAGCATGTAGTTGATATTGTGAACCAGAAGATTTAATACCAACTCCTTGTACTTACTCATATTAACATCATACAATCATCATCCCATTTCCATCATCTTAATAAAATAGTACATTAATCTAAAACTAACTCAAATTCTGTAAATTAATCATTCCATTAAAAGCATTCACTGCTTTGTAAAATGTTGCATCCTTTTCCTTCATAAATTTTCCAGCAGGAGGTTCAATCATACACCTTCAGTATATGATATTTAATTTATTTTTAATATAACATATTCAGTAATATTCCTTCTCTTTCTTTCACTGTACTCACAAAATATAAAAAACAAACAAACACCTGACTGTTTTCCAAATACTAACTTTCACAATTGACAAAGGAGCAAAGAAATAAATGTGATGCTTTTGTGACTATAAAAGGACAATATTGAAATGACTTTAGATATGAATGTAATGAATCCAAAAAGGAAGACTTAGCCACTACAAAAGAAAGTGCAAGAGCAATTCAAAATACCAGACTATTACTCAAGAAGACAAAATTAAAATTTGAACAAGACAATGACTTAATTATGTAATATTGCTCAAACTACATTATAAAATGACCAATAATGCCCTTGAGAAGACTGTGGAATAAAATATATTCCTCATCAATTTTTCTGTTCTCTCCAAGGCTGCTAAAATGGGATCTACATTGAAACTGGGCAAGGCATCTTATCTTCAAGCAAACTATTTGTGATGACAACTTTGGAAGATTGCAGCAAAATAAAATGCAAAGAATATGTCTGAAGCATTATATCAATTATTTTTCTTCATCTTATGCCATTTTGAATCTTTACACCATGACCGAGACTGCTTAAGTGAAAAATGTGCATTTCTTAATTATTTATCAGTTTAATCACCTTCAAATGAATTCATACCTTACCTATCCTGTTCAATATTTCCTTCATTAAATGCAATATAATAAAATACATTTTAAAAACTAAAACATTTAAATATCATTCATTTTCATCTTTCACAATATTTTAAATTGAGTCCAAGTGTTATATCATAAAAATGTTGTGTGGTTATACACAAATTGGTCAGAAATTTTGAATTTTTGTAAAATTGCTTAAACTGTATAAACTTCACTTTTTATTGTATCCACTCCATTTTATATCATCTGTTCAATTATCATCAATTATATATATAGTTTATATTATCAATTCTATTATCACAAAGGAAAAATGTAGTTATTCAGATCATTGTCATTTACAGATGTATGTATCCAATATAGATTTAATGTACTCATTTTTCATGCTTTATTTTTGTATTATACAGTAGGTGTGTTTTATATAGAATTTTCCTTTATTTTTTAATAAATAAAATGAACTAACAAAGAATTTGTAGTTTTCCTTAATAATATTCATCATCATAGAAATTGTTTATCATAAGAGTTGCATTAACTCTTCAGTCTCTCACTATTCAAGTCTTATCTTGAATTCACAAAAATATATTTTCCTTCTTAAACCAAATAACGTTCAAGCATAGTACTAGAAAAATAAACCTGTCTCAGATATCCTACATATCCATATCACCATTTCATATTCTGAGGTTAAATTTTATCCTTAGGAGAATAGACCCATCATTAGCATTAAATATCATATTGCTTTTCACATCATACCCTATGGAGAAATGAGATAAACATGTTATATCACGTCTCATTTTGCACATTCTGTGCACGGAAAATGCAATAATATGTCCCACTCTTTGAAACCTGCACATAAGTGAACTGAACTCTTCAGCTCAAGACTGGCTTAGAGAGCTGCTACGTGCCTTCTGTAGAGGCTCTCTGCAACTGAGCTCCAGGTTTCATAATGGCTCGTATTTATACCAGTCACAGCAGCAGCAGCAGCAGTGAAAGTGGAATGCTTCATGGAACACACAAGGAAAAAAGAAAAGGCAGTAGACTGCATGCCCCACCATGAACCTTAGGGTCAGTAATGCAGAGAAACCTTTCACTGAGAATATACCAACAAGTTCTCCTTGAAAGTAAGACGCTCTGTTCTTCCTGATCTGTTGGAAAATGAGTTCACATCACCAGCTAGTAGATAAACAAGCAGTCTAGAAAGTTGTTCAAACTGGTTTGATGATTTCTGCTGGTTCTACTGTTGAACCACTTTTTCAAGTGTAATACAGAATCCATCTATTCATGTATTCTTCATGAGCAATAAAAGCTGCTATTATTTCAAATATCAATTAATAGTAAATATTTGAAAGTTCCAGAAGATATAATTATGAAAAAAGGAAAGACAGAGTAACACACTCATTAGAAATATTTGCTATATGAAAGACTAATGAATAATAAAGTGTTTTCAAGAATTTCAGAAGGATGTTAAAATGCCTGCTTTAAGAAGAAAGCATTAAAATGTGCAGAACAGCTGATTTTGAAGAGATAAGTACACAATCAGTCATTAGAAAGTCTTCCTTGTGCAACTTTCACAATGTTAATCATTATGTTTCTTAAAATGTACAGCACTGCACATAAACATGTTTACATGTATATTGAAAAGTATTCCACGTGGAACTAGGGGAAAGAAAAACTTCGAATATGAACTTCTTAATCACGATCTACTTTTTAACACTATTTATATAATTTACATCACCACTTTTAAATACTTTTATCGCACAAGTATTAACAAATTCACTTTTCTTTACTAAAATATTCTAACAAATATCTTCTACTAACAAATAACTAATAAAAGAGCATATTCATATTTCTATTAATGTTTGGCTTTTCAAATGTTTTTCACGAAATGTCCTAAGAATAAAAACTCAGTGATGCAATTTAATTATAGTTTCATTGTTATATGTTTAGTTAATCTGAAATGCCTTCATAAAATTTTACAGAACTCTTCCTTCTGTTTTTCAATACAGATAGTTTGACAATATATTTGAACTTTCCTATAAAAATTGTGACAATAATACAACCAATAATATCTGTAAGGAAGCATATTTCTTGAAAAATATTTTCAATGATCATAAATAATTTATAATTCATGGAAGAATGAAAAAAAAATTCTTGAAGAAAAATTTTATTGAGGTCCTTTTTGTGAAATTATTAACAAGTAAAATACCAAACATTAATTAAAAAGTTCATTTCCAACAACTAATACTAATTAATAATTGTTTTTACATGCTATTGTTCCCATTTTCAATGCTTAATATAGTTTAAAAGAAATTGAAAATTCATACAATAAAATTTCACAATATTTTGTACAGTAATATACACTAATAATAATTTATTTTACTGTATTTCAGTTGCATCTCATTGTTTTTAATATTTTTATATAATGCACATCAAAACTTATTAAGTACAATATTTCACTCTTGCAATGCTGAAAAGCTCAGAATGATTGTAAAGACGTTCAGTTGCAATGTGCTCTTGAATTTCAGGAAAATTCCACTGAAGCCCTGACAATGGACAAAAGTACAGAGACTGACAAGACTACTTCTACTTCCTCTACTGTTACAAGAATAGTCAATTCTTCTAAAACAATAAACGTACATTCATTAAAAGACAAAAAATACCTTGGAGAAGAGAGTGACCTTTTGCCATCTAGTACTGAAGAAGACCCTCAAACACTTACTGGACTAAAAGACACTGATGAAGACCCAGAGATCACTATTGATAAGAACATTTTATCTGAGTTTTTTTCATCATTTCAAGAAAAACCTGCTTCTGTAACTTTGCCTACAACAGTGCTACCAAAGAAAGATGCTTCTAATGTGGAAATTTTAACAAAGGCTCAAAGCAAAAATAACATTATTTCTGAATCAACTGAGCCATCTGCAAGGTTAAATGAAACTACTACCATTAACCCCAATACTTCTACCACTGAAACTACCCCTACTACCACCACATCGACAACAATTCCCACCACAAGTCCTGTAACTACTGCCACACCCCTCACAACCACCACTACACCTACAACAACCATTACAACCCTCACACCTGTAACAATGACTACAACCATCACAACTATGACAACCACTCCCACAACAACCATCACAACTACAACTACAGTTCCCACAACAACCACCACACCTACAACCATTACTACACCCACAACAACCACTACATCAGTTAAAACTACTACCATACCTGTGACAACTACCACCACCAAGCCCATAACTTCTACCACACCCACAACAACTACCACTTTATATACTACCACCACCTTACCTACAACTACCACTTTACCTACAACCACCACTTTACCTACAACCACCACCTTACCTACAACCACCACCTTACCTACATCCACCGCCTTACCCACAACCACCACCTTACCTACAACCACAACCGCACCCACAACAACCACCCCCAAACCTGAAACCACTACCACACCCATGAAAACCACTACCACCCTTATGACCACACTCAAAACAATCACCACTCCACCCACAACTACTACCACCCTTATGACCACACTCAAAACAATTACCACTGCACCCACAACCACTACCACACTTCCCACAAGTACTACCACACCATCAACCACTACAACAACTGCACCTTCTTCAACTGCCACCATCAGCACTATCACTTTACCTAAAACAATTACCACCTCACCATTGAAAACCTCTAAACCTTTAACTTCTACAATACTGCAAGCAATGTTTACAAACAGCACTACTGAAATTACTAAAGCTCCTGAAAGTACAACTTCTTCTCTAGAAGAAAATTTGGTTGACAGAAACCTGGCTGATGGCTCTCTTTCAAAAATTTCATTAGAACAAGGAAACATTGTAACTACAGTGCCTGTTGGGCGTTTTCCAGTCAGAATTACCATAGCACCTCGAGCAGAGTACAAAAGCACCACTTCTATTAGTCAAGTAGCACAAGATCGTAGCTTCAGTATTTTAGATTTTGAAGAAACATCATATCCTGAGTCAGCATCTCATGTACGATATATACATTCCACTATTCAATCTACTACTTCACGTACTCCTGCTCCATATGTAATATTTGGAATATTCCCAAACAATACAATATTTCGAAAATTCCCCAATTCAGATATAAAAGAAATTGTTAGTGAAAATGAAATTGCACGACCACAGCATTACTACCCAGACGAACATCACAATACATTCCATTCAAACTACCAGCAGAGTAGTACAAACAGTAAGGATGCATCAAGACATGAAAATATTGTGAATAGTGCACAGAACACAAGAGCAAATGAAGTTTTGCACTCCGGTGCTGCTCAAACATTCATTCCTGCATCCAAGTCCCAAGCACCAGCACAGATTGCAGTGGGCCAGGTAGATATTACCCCTAGCACATGCTTTATCCTTGGCACAGGAAAATACATGTGTTGAAGTTCTATTACATTTTATACCCAAAACTATTCAATCATTGTATGGATATAATACCACTTACTAAATACGAAATATAAATATATGTTGGTATAAACTTTATTGAAATCTGAAAATCACTTATTACTTATCATTTGCTAGAGGGCTTTGGGGGATAACAAGCATTGTTTTGAAGAGTTTTGGGAACCTAATGTTAAACTTCACACAAAATTTGTAAAAATAAGGTAATAGAATTTATTGAATTTCCTCTACTACAACCATAATGCACATGTTCATTTGTTTTCTTAATAGACTATATTATTGAATTAATTATGTTGTAGTTATGGTAATAATGCAGAGACTTACTCACAAGTATTCATTTATTTAATTTTTGAGAATGAAACAATTTGATTATAATTAAATTGTACTTTCCTTCCAAGGTTGTAATAGAGGCAAAAAGAATCATCCTTTTGCCTGTTTGAGAGGGGGCCTGAGGTTGTGGCTGTTCAGGGTATTCCACAACTGGCACTGTTTCTCCATCATTCTGTCTGCATGGATATCAATTGTCTTCATCATCATGGACTTGCAGCATGACTCTCCAAAGCATTTTCTAAACAGACTTTACTACTTGTGAAGTGAAAAAACTATGAAATTTAATTTGTCTTGCATTATAAAAAGAACTGAATGCCTCATTATTTTCTTTTATCTTGGATGGGTATATTTTCATGGTGGAGGGAGAATCTGAATTTTATAACAAGCTTCCAATGAAATGTGTTTTAAAACCAACATAAAATGGAACATTTAATTTATTTCTTGAGTAGAAATTAGGATTTCATTACAAATTACAGAAAAATGAATTTTCTAGATGTGAAGTACAAAGTGTATATACTATTTATTTGTGAATTATTTATTTTTAAAACGCAGTAAGGTACAAGAATAAAAAAGAATTATATCAATATCTTATTAAATTTTAATTTTTCCTAACTTATCTACAGCTCAAAATTATTCCTAGAAAATATATTTGAGTGGAAGAGAAATGTAAATATGAGAGTGTTAATATCAATTACTCTTCATTGTAGTTTTCTTCCCTTTTCCTTATATTCATTAGAAACAGAAGCAGACAACATTTCTTAAATAAAAAGCATGAAACTGTATAAATGTTAATTTAATGCATGAGCTTTGTTATGAAAGGTGGCGGCTTCTGGTAAGTTTGCAAGTCTACTTCTCAAACTCAGTAATTAATTAGTGAATTTATCTAATATTTCACATGTGTAAAGAACATTAGAATTTGATAAAATTAATATGGCACTTGAAATTATCCTACTAGATTCACTGATTGAATACATCATTTTCTCTTAAATTAATGTCTCAAATAAAATAAATAATTATTGAATCATTTACAGCCATCACCTTCAGAAACTACATCACCTTCTGAAAGTACTTCACAGGTAAGGACTGTTTATAAAAAATGTTTGACTGCATATCAATGAATAAAATACAATTTAGATTATTACTCCAGTACAATTATCTCAACTTTCTAATTAGAGTTAAACTAAATCCGTTTTTCCTGTTTTAGGCGTCTCAAACCTCGATTCCTGTTACTGTGAGAGGAACTGCAGATTTCTCCAATTCTGTTTACACAGGCTCTGTAAGTTACAATGAGATAAAAGAAAAATATTTAAATGCCAACACACTAGGAAAAGGCTTAGAGTGAGATTTGCACTTCAAGAAATCTATGATGCACCTAGCACAATGCACGTAAATTTTGCAAACCTTAAAAACTGCATCCACAAATTTAATTGTATTCTTGCAGGATAATAAATACAAAAACTACTGGGCAACATCTACTAGTGAGAAACCACAGTACCGAATTCTCACAACATATACACCCATAGTGAGTGTTAGTGACAAGTATTTGAAGCCTTGTATTGTCAAACAAGGGGCAAACAAAGTGAAAGGAGTGAATAAGTATTGTGTCTTTCCAGTCAAACAAACATTTAATACTTCAGTAACTGTTTAATGCAGGAGAGTTTTAATAATTTGAGGTTCAAGAGTAATAATATTCCTATTTTTGTGCTATCAAATCTCTTAACTTGTTTTCATGTTGGGTTGCCAGGTGTCTTGTGTCAAAATATCACAAATGTAGTCAAATGGGGGAAGGGGTCAAGAATTAGTGTGAAACCAAGATTTTTTAATTACAATTTGATATCAATTTATTTATTACAATACATAAACAGAAAATATGAATTAGGCTTGGCTGAAATTAAATTCAACAATTTCATAGGAGAATTTTATCTGTCTTTCATATTTTTGATTTATACAGATGCATTTTAAAAATCTTTTACAAGAAATACCACTTCATTTTTTTTATGTTGTGAATTATATAATAAAATGTTATGAAGTAAGGGCAACTGGCAACCCTCTTTTTAGGAGCTTCATTTGACATTTCAAGTAGAGCTTTTAATATTAATGCTCATCAGAGGTGCATTTGAAATTTTTGGGGTGGGAGGGGGGCTACAGATATTGTGTCCAGCCAACTTGATATTTTCTTGTAAAGAATTTTTCATTGTTAACTGATAGTTAACATTTATAAAGTGAACAATTGATATATTGAATGACTTACATTAGTATAGAAAGTTAGTAAAAGCTACATTTTTGAATACGAATCATTAGCTTCTGGGAAGGTCTGGAGCTCCATGAGCACCTCTCCCCCCCCCCCCCCCAGATGCAACTCTAATACTAATAATTGTATATATAAAGTTCATGCGGCTTTATGTAGGCTATTTCTTTAATAATAAAAACTTGTCTCTCTTATTAATGTTATATTCTCTTTAAACAGGTAACTAAGCCAGAAATATCAACTCCCGAACCAACTCCAGCAGTGTTCATTGTAACTCCTGAAAAATCTTCTACAACAACAACAACAACAACAACTGAAGTATATCGTTGGAAACCTATTCCCATATCAGAGGTAAATAGCAACAATAACCTAATAGAACATATTAATAAAAAGGTTATTTGGGAAAATAAGGCCAAATGTTGTATGATAGTGTTTCAAGAAAATACCACAGCCATTAATGTTTATATATCATATTTTCTATTACTTGTCAGGTACAAAAAACAGGGATGAACATTCTAAATGTTCAGAATAATTATACAAGTACCACAGATTTTCCTTTACTATCAACTGTTTCTTCTTCTACTGCACCTACAACTAGCACTTCTAGTGTTAACAATTCTACTTTGGAAATGGTGCAATTTGCTTCAAATGCAAGTTTAGTAGAAAACTCAACAATGCAGACACCTTTTAAAATAGTTTCAAGCACTAACAAAAGCACTGAAACTTCAACAATGGTACAGGCAATATTAGAAAATACAACCAATATCTTTCCACAACCACAGTTTTCTACGGAAACATCTGCAATGTCTAACTTAAATCAAGCCTCCACAACAGAACAAAATATTTCCAACTCAACAAATGTTCTTACCTCCTCAAATAACTCACAGGATACTTTCCTTATTTCTCCTGTTACAACAACAATACCAGCTTTTGGTCTTCGCAGTTTAATTTCCCGTGTTTTGGTATGTATATCGAGTGGCTTTTTAAGAAACAATTTTTAAAAAAATGAAGTGATAATAAAGTTCCTATTATGAATTAAAATGTAACTCTATTTATATTATAGGGAACTCTTCAAACATCAGAAAATCCTGAAAATATCCAAGCTGAACAAAAACAGGGAAGTGAAGTCAATCAGACATCATCAAATATATTGAATAGTACTGTGGAGTTACTGGAAGTAGAAAAGTCTACAACTACACCAACATCTGTAATTACCAAGGAAGCAGCAACTTCCAGAACCACAACACAAGCATCAACAACGACAAAACCCTCTACTTCTACTATTACTACTACTACTCCTACCACTACCACTACAACTGCAACTACTACAACTGCAACTACTACCACTACAACTGCAACCACTACCACTACCACTACCTCTACTACTCCTCCTACTACTACTAAACCAACAACAAAATCAACTACTACAGTTACGACAACAACAAAACCTACCACCACAGCTAAACCCACAACAAAACCAACTCCTAAGCCAACAACAAAACCTACTCCTAAGCCAACAACAAAACCTACTCCTAAGCCTACAACAAAACCAACTCAAAAGCCAACAACAAAACCAACTCCTAAGCCTACAACAAAACCGACTCCTAAGCCAACAACAAAACCAAATCCTAAACCAACTCCAAAACCAACTTCAAAACCAACAACAAAACCTACAATAAAGCCAACTACTACAAAACCGAAAACTACAGTGAAGCCAACTGTTCAGACAACGACTAAAAAATCAGTACCAATAACACAAAAACCAACTACAACAACTCAGAGATCTACAACACCAAAATCAACAACGCCATTGACCACAACAGCAAAATTAGCTACAAGTTCTCCCAAACTTCCAGAAGTAACCAAATTCAGCCCAGATAGTTCAGTTATAAATGTGGCTACTAATAATGAAGTAGCTAGACTTCACTCTGATTCTCATCTTGGTAATCTTGATGACTCAATTCTTCTTCATGGTTTGGTAAGTCAGTTATTATTCTTTTATATAAATAGTCAACATTATCTTTAGTGCATAAAAAAATAATACATAATAATTGCAGCTTCAAGCAGCATCTCAGGATGTACGAAGGCCTGGCAGAGAAAGGGAGGGTGAACTTGCTGATAAGGTAAAATATTTTAATTTTTTTAATTTGAAGAATTATTAACAATTAAATATGAATGAATAGTAGGATAATACAAATATTTAAAAACCTAACAAAAGCAGAACTTTTTAATGAAAATAAAATAATAGTGGGAAGACAAAAACAAAAGCATTAGGAAAAAGGATTTTTATTATCAGTTTCTTATTATACATTAATACAAATTTATGATTTCTTTATGAAGGTTATTGAAGCTGCACTTCAGAATTCTGTTTCTCCTCAAAAACCAATAGCAGCACATGAAACAGTAGTTGCTCAGCCAAGTCAAAAAGTAAGATTTTCGCATGCAAACACATTCTATTCTTGTCATTTATTGCCTATTGGCAGCAGATGCAGATTGTTTAAAAAACAACAAACAAACATAAATTTATTTTTCATATATTTTTCAGGACCTCACAGCAAACATTCAGCCACAACAAAGGGAATTAGCTGTGGCAAACAAGGTATTCACTAGTTTACTTTCTCTGCAATTGCATTTAGTCAGCAGATCATAATATTACATAACAATGTATTATTCAGGTTATAGAAATGGCATTAGAGAAAACAAGAACTTCAAGTACGCCTCCTACAACTGTTCAGCCTTCTGCACAGTTTTTGGATCTAGTTGCATTATTGGTAAGGATCAATCCAACTGTTTCTTTTTTTCTTACTAGAAAACACATTAATAAGAAGTCTTTTTGATAAAGGAAAACACAAGAAGTACAGTTCCCACTCCACGTGCAATTTCAACACCAAGAACAACAACGACATCAAGAACAACAACACCTAGAACAACAATATACAAACCACAGGTAAGGAAATAATAAATAAAATAGTATTGCTACAAAATGGCACAGACTCTCTCATACTAGCTTTTTGGTTTTGCCCTATCTTCTTCCTGTCTATGCTACCTGGCTGCACTTAAAAGATATGTTTTCAAATTTTCCAAATTTTTGCATTCCCTACAAGTAGAATTCAAGAATGTTGAGGTGTACAACATAACATCGAAATGCTAAATCATTTGAGCATTTCTGAAATGAGCAATTTTGAACTCATTTTCACTGAAAAGTTTCGAGTTTTTGAGAATCTTCTTAAGAAATTTTTTAAAGAACTTATACTTACCAATCTAATATTGTGTAAAGAAACTCAGAAGTATAAATATTAATGTGATATGATGTGTTATGTGCATTTAGCACTATCCATATGAAAAATTTCATCACAAAATTTGGAGCCAGGTTTGAGAAAATTATGTTTCTAATGTTACCTATATTTTACTCCAAATTGTGTGAAAACTATTAATATTTTCAAAAATGTACATGACACTAATTAAAGAACTAAGTTTGGAGAATAACTTTTATTGAAAAAAAAAACTGTCTTCATTAATATAGTTGCATGAGGAGGTTAAAAAAAATGCAGACTTTTGCTTACTACAGGTAAAACATTATATTTTCTTTATAAGTGTATTTCACTATATTCTTAGAAAAATTAAAGAAAAAATTACAACCCTTTTTGAGAAAATTTTAAATATTTCCCAGGGGGTTCATGCAAAGTACCGCCAAAATTTAAGCAAACATTTCAAAAATCACAGGTCTTCATGGGCCAGATAAATCTTGGAATATTCATTTAAACAGAATTCCTATAAATAGTTTAGGAATTAATGTTGTTCACATATGACAGACTAATGGAGACAACACAGACAGAAGGAGTCTTGAAAAATTCAAAATTAAAAGGAGAAAAAAATAAAACCTTTTGCATTTTCATAGGACCTTAAAATGTATATTTCCATTAACGTATTGAAATAAATTGTCTGCAGCATTACATAACTTTCTTTATACTATGTTTATTACTCAGTATATATGTACACAAGAAAGTATAGTGATTCTAACGATCTGATGAGTGGAGCATGATGTTCATTTGTTCTAAAACATCTCCTCCACTAAGTGTACAAATGAACTAACATTAATAAAACATATCTGATGGCATGTAATATACAAATACTTTGATATAACTTATAGCAGAAAAACACAACTCCACGCAGACTTAACTCAGATGAACAATTCCTAGCTGCACTTCTAGGAGCAAACCTCAGAGGCACAACTACTAAACCAAAGGTAATGTTAGAATTGAAATTCTATTAATCTAATATATTAATAGTATAATGTAAGTAAAGTAAGAGGCAAAAATTAATGTTAATGTTTTCTTATTTCACAAAGTTTTGGTTTCTATTTGCGTGTTTAAGTAATGTCAATGTTACTTACAAAGAAAAACAAATTTTATAAATTATGACACTGTTTCTTCTATTGTTCATTAATCTCTTAATTTTCTCATTTATACCATTCACCTTTTCAAATATCTTTGTTTCTTATGAGATCATTATCTTGTGCAGACTTTAACCAATACCTCCTAGAAACAGTTTCTACAAGGTATTGTTTTAATTATCTTAAGAAATCTCCTTTATTTCTTGGATCAGTTTTTGTCATATCCAGAATAGTTCTTTACCAAGGAATTAGATCTGTATAATTTATTTTTGTGTATTTTCATATTTCGTTATGCATTGTTCTATTTATTATCTCTCATACTAATTATTTGTCTGCCTGACTGAATATTTTTTTAGACTACAACTTCTAAACTTAGTCCTGAAGAACAACTGTTAGCAGCCTTGTTAAATCCTCAACTACAAGCTGCAACTACAACAAAAACTAAGTCTCAGGTATTATAACTCACAATAAATGCCTCTCCATAATAGACACAGACCACCTAAAACTAAGACCTTTCTATTTTTACGTCCTTTCTTTGTGGTTCAAACTCTGCTTTTAAATTATAATTGTATCCATATAAAACTAACTGTTTGATATATATTTTTTTATTTTCAGAATAATGCTCAGACACTATCAGATGCACAGTTTCTTGCAACTCTTCTGGCAGCAAATTCACCTCGTCCCAACAACAAAGCACCTGTTGCTAAAGCCACTTCTCCAGCACCCATATTTCCACAGTTGCAGGGTGCAAATAATGGTTTCATCAACCCATCTGCTATAGATTTGGTAACTAAATGAATTTTAATTTCTGGGAATGCTTCTTGAATGCAAATTGTAAAAACAATAAGGAATAAAATTTAGTTTAATTTTAAAATTTCATTTCCAACAAACAATATATAATTAGTATTACTAAAAGTTACAAGGGATTAAATTAATTATTTGCATTAAACATATTGACATTTTATAATTTTTTTCCAAATTTCAGGAAGGAGTGAATGGATCTGCTGGAGGTCAACGTTTAGTTAAAGCAGCAATTGAAGTAACCAAAGCAGTTTCTCAGTTCATGAATGTTGTCATCCAGGTAAGAGTTCTTCATTGACAATAATTGATAGCTTATGGTAATTACAAATTTAATGCTAATTAAAATTAAATCTCGTATGTATTTCAGGGTGCAAGCCAGTCCTTTCAAAGTTTTTTCACAAGAGGTACAAATTTGTTGGGCAATTACTTTAGTTGGGGATCATTGCAATCTTCTGCAGGTTCATGAAGTAAGGCAATTTTTATTTACAACTATTCTTTTATTGCATGTCAATTGTATTTCATGTTGTCATACCATTAGGCAAAGAAGAACTATTAATTTTACCTTTCCATGCATCAATGTTTTCTTTTTTAGATTAAGATTTTCTAGAACCATTGGCAAAGAAATACAGATGAGTTTCATGAGTATGTCATGAAATTGGAAGAGAAATGAAACATTTTTCACATTTAAGAAGTTTGTGAAATAATTTACAGCAGATTATCACGTGAATGTCTCAAAGTACTGAGAAACTCTTAATTGAAATATGGAAAACTATTGTGATAAGTGGTTTTTGTTTCAAAAATGGTAAAATATTTCAACATTACCTGCCCTTAACATTACCTGAAAATGAAGCATAAATGTTATGAAGAACGATCTTGAAACTAAATCTGTGATTGCTTCAGAGATTCTGCCAATGTATTTTTTTTTTTGGTCCAAGGTCAGATCATTCATAAGAGAATATTTGGAAGATGTGAAATCATGACAAGAAAATCTACCAATTGTGCCATTACACCAACAATTTGAAACACCTGAGATAGTTTGATGTTCCTTGCAAATGAAGTGAGCGAGTGAAAAGTAGACTCAATAAATGAATGAATGTTTTGTATTAAAACTTAAAAGCACTTAATGGAAGAAGTTAAGTTAATTATCTCAGGTAATGAGGTGTATATTTTACTCAATATTGATGAATATTTTTATGACTGATTATTGTTAATCATAAACAAAGTACAGGAATTGTAATGGAAGAAAAGAGTTCTTAGAAAGTAATCATTGTCTTTTTAATAAAGTCATTTAGCTGGAAAGCAAATAAGGATTTTGAAATTTCTTTTGATTAGTTTCTATTCTATAAAAAAATGTTCAAAAGTGGAAATATTCTTGAGCAAATAAAGCAAAAAAGTTGTAATTATTTATGTACTATGTACTAGTATTAATTGAATATTTTCATTTTTGATTTAACTGTATTTGGACTAATTGTAGCCAGAGTTGTAATAATATTCAGAGTTTCAAATTTAAATAAAGTTTCAAAGTAAAGATGTCAATAGTAACTGAGGCCAGGGTTATGAGACCATCACCAAGAAAATTGATACTTTCTTGGATTCACCAATCATGGAATAATATCAGGGTTGAAATATTAGCAAATTTGTTAAATTTTGTGCATTGGCTGCTGCCACTAATGAGAGAGAAGAGAGCAAAATGGTCTGTTTTAAGAACATGCTACATTTCTTGAAATGGTGAAACAGAAATGTTTGAAGCTTTAATCACCTTGAGAGCCATATCAAAATGAATTGTGAATATGATCACCAAGAGAAGAATAAAGCAGTTCTTTTTGCAAGTAACAATGAAGATTCAGAAGATTCTGAGTAAGATTTTAATAAAATATTTGAAATTTTTTCTTAAATTTCAATTAGTTCCCAAGGTTTCAATTGGAGCCAGTCTGCAACGAAAGTATGATTACTAGATGCTACAATTAAATCAATTATGGTATTTCCAAAATGTGGTCCAAAAGCAAAGTGAAGGGAAGTTACGTGTGTAAATGTGATTTTAATCCAAGGACTGTAGATACTGTAAGATTGTAAAAATATATTTATGATAATTATTGTGGAAATGTTACATGAAGTAACAAGGTTGTAAATAGCCCTTGATCATAGTGTGAATGCAAGCAAGCTTGCTGAAACAATAATGACATATTAAATGAATAATTTACTCTGTTGTTGGACACATATATCTGTTTTTGGATAACGGAAATGTTCAGTTGTACCCTCAGAAATTACATATTTAACATAACACTCAATGTTCAGGGCATAATTCATCATTTAGACATTCCTTGCATTTTAATAAAGGTAGAGTACAACTGAGGGATTTCTGAATTCAATTGCAATTTGTTTGCTAATGAGTTCTTCATCAGTGAGTAAATAACTGAAGGCATTTTTAAGACTTATTTTAATTTTAAATTATGATACAATAAAGTCAATACTGTTTCTGAAGCATTATGATCCTCTTTCTTATCAACCCTCCCATAAATCCTAAACCATAATAGAATGAGATCAAGGAAACTGTGAATTGCATTATGGCAAGAACTCACATTATTCTTTTGGCTCCTTGATATTATTCCTTAACAAAATTGAAATATGATTGTTCAAATATCATTATCATTTTCATCTAAGGAGAATTACATGCTTTTGAGCTCTGGGCTTCTTAAAATCAAATAAAATTTCCATCATATTCCATTTTTAATTTTATTTGCCTGTAGGAACAATACATTTTATGACTATGCCATTGGCATTCTTGATTTTCATTCTTATTAATAGAAGTATGGGTTTTAATGAAATGTCATTTTTATTTTTTAACTCGACAACAATACCATTTAGTAAAGAAATTCATTACCTGTTATGACAAAACAAAATGACCTATTATTATATGTCACTTTTTTTTGGCATTTTTCATAATTTTCGAATAGTAAGTAATTTTTTACCTTTTTATGTCATTTTAATGCATTTTTAAACTGATTTCAATGATTTAGTATCATTTTAATGGTACTTGCTTCAAACAATATTTATGAGATGCAACAAATGTTCATCACAGAATTCCTGAGTAACCTTTTTGATTTCTTTGCTCATATATTGTAATATCAGCAGTTGTGAGCACTATGTAATCTAAGATTCCTGTGATGCTTGTCGGCACCATTGTCAGTTTGGCCAATTTTGCAATAAATAAAGACAAAGTTTTTTTTTAAAGAATAGTCCAAAACAAAAGTTTACAAGCTGAGTTAACTTGAATAAAAGGAAGAAGCCTCAATTACATTAGTAACATATCCATAGCTTGAGTTGTTCATCTAAAGTGGTTGTGATCAACTTTTTTAACATAATTTTTCTTTGTTTTTAGGGCATTTTAAAAACATTTTAAGAGAATTTTATTGATAATTTTTGGCAATGTTTTAGGCTATTATAATCCACACTCTACTTATTAATATCAATAAAACAATTCTGGCTTTATTCATCAAGAGTTTTTGTTTTACAACTACAAGTTCTTTGTTAACATCTTCCAAACTCATTTGTAACTTGGGAAAATGCAGAGATACTCCGGAAGATATTTTTGTTCATTTTCTATAATGGAAGTGAAATATTTAATTTATTAAGTTCAATACTATGTAAGTTAACAATTCAACATATCACTTTTTCAATAGCTGTAGTTTAAATTATTCAGACGATAAGATGACAATAAAAGGTTTCCATACCTGATAATATTTCTTATATTTATCAAGAATTTTGTGTTAAGGAACACCAAAGAAATATTACTGACTTCATAAAAAAATTGTAATAAGTATATTTTCAGACTACAACTAAGGGTCAAAGACACGTCAAGGGCTTCATGTAATATAGGAATGTTCTATTTGTGAGGAGAAATATGGTCAATGGTCTGAAAGCAAAGAAAACATTTTTTCTTTTAGGAATCCAAAGCTATTGATGGAACCCACAAAATTTAAACTGTTTGGATGATGGCCTTCAATCTACACAATAAAACAAAAATGTTAAATGCAGTGTTCAGTCAATAAAGCATCTCAATAGAACCTCATCAACTAGGCCTACCACTACCTTCACTCTGAATGCACCGAAAGATATATTGGCGGCAGAATGAATCTGAGAATTTTGATAAATGTAATTTGTAATTACAAATAAAGGTAGGCAATTTTTCATTTTCCATTGGTAGAAAATGCTTCAAACATGACATATTGATTCAGTTTTTCCTCAAAATTGAATATTAACTTGGAGAAACTTCATGCAATACAGTAAAGTTATGATCGTATTTAAAATAACAAACCTACCAAATTACGCTAAAATCTGATAAAATTTCACAATTTTCAATCACTTCAAATTCACACACATATGTAACTATTGTTCTGTAAAATCACGTAATGGTAATCTCTTAGAGAATCACAAGCATTGTGACGGCATACCAAGAATGTAGTCTATGGTACTACCAAAAAAAGCAGTGCAGCATGAGTGACTGGAATCATGAGAATATCAGAAGTGCAGTGGCGGTTTAAATGGTTCAATGCTTTATAAAGCAATTATTAGGGTGAAAATGAAATACACAGGCCCCAGTTGGAAAATTGCAGAAAATATGCATTTGAAAAAACCAAGTTCAGTGACTCTCAAAACTATTCAGACACACGAAATTTAGCAGAATAATCATGGATTAAAAACATTATATTACTTTCATAAGTAGTATTAAGGCATTTAGGAAAGTTTTATAAAAATCACGAAAATCAACTGACATTTTTATATTTGAATTTTTTAAACTGTATGCTGAAAACTTAACTCACAAACTACTCAGACACTTGAATAGAAATATAATCAAATATATACAGTAAATAATGTTCAAATAGAAAAATATGTAAAAAATAACACAGTAAGGGCATTCTATGTCTTGTAGCTATCCTCTTTCGTTGCAGCAACTCCTTCAGTATAATTGGTATACTTCGTACCAAGTTTTTAGGTATAAGAAGGATAATTTTTTCTCCATTTATGTTGTATTCTTTTCTTTAATTCTTGTTTAGAATGAATTGGGTATTTTATTATCACCTTTTCTGTAACAGTAAGGTCTGGTGACTGTGGGGGTTAATGAAGTACCTTTAGGGGAATTGCACAGCAGCCAAAGTTGAACAACCTCCAACTTATGCTAGGGAACATTATACTGATAAAAATAAAATCTATCAAGAATACATATATTTTCAGAACTTTTTTAAAATTTAATTTTATTTTTTTTAAGAATGTTGAGATAGTTGAACCTGCTCATCATTTACTCTAAAAACACAAGTTCACTGCCACTATTGACTAACATGCAGCCACACACCACTACATTTCTACCTCCGTGCTTCACGGTTGCTTACATGTTTTCTCTTTTCAGCTCTTAATTGAGTCTCCTCCACACTCAAATTGGTTCCATGGATGTTCATTTTCGATTTGACAACGATGATTACTCTGATCCACAAATCTTCATCTTTTTCTGCGGGTATTTAACACACCCCTACCTTTTCCACTTTTGGGCAGTATCAGCTGTTTATTTACAACCATGCAAATGGCAAATATACCAAAAAATTTGCAAAATCCGATTAATGAAAATAGCACAGTGAGTGTCATAATCTCACTGTACATCAATGAAGAGAGGATTGCACTGCAACCCGGAGGAGAACGCAGGAAAACATTTTCTGATCGAGAAGAGAATTACATGGTGAGAATAATAAAGAAGGATTCTAGTATTAGTGCACCAAAAATACTCCACAGTTAGACATTGCCATTGGCAAGAAATTAAATCCCAAAACCACATTGCAAGAAGCAGGCACGTTTCTCGTTTCGAGGCCTCGCGTTTGGCAATTGCAGTTGGGGTCCCATTTGGTGCTTTTGCACCGCGGCCAACGAGAATATAGCTACGCCCCAGCAGTAATTCTTGTTATTTCTATCGAATCTATCTTGTTGTAATTTAATCGTTGAAATTGGCAATGCTTATTTTAATGATAACATCATGTCCTGTTCTTTGACTTTATTTAACTTTCTTTATGTAAAAGAGAAGTTGAAAATTAAACGTTTACGATGACTCAAACATATTGATACTTTCGCGAAGAAAATAAATAAAAATATGAAAGATTTAGAAATCTGTTCCAATTATTCGAAGAGATGGAAACTTCATAACGAGAGAGGCAATGGAAGATGTATAAAATATTTCCTTCATCTGATAAATATTTAAATTCATAAGTCTTCTAATTGCAACTACACTGGTGTTTGTAAAAATTGCAACACCCAAAAGAAGACATACTATTATAATGAAACGTATTATACATATTAGGAATATCAGTATAAACAAAAGATTAGAATTACAGAACTGTATCTGCATT